GAAATATATGGAAGGAGTCTGTTCCAGGCTCTAGTTGTCTTTTAAGGAATCTCATATTCTAGCACGCGATCGGGAACGTTGGAAGCTCTGTCTGATGCGTCTGCGTCCGTGAACCGAAAGGAGAAGCGGCTATATGACAGGCAGATGAAGCAATTGGTTCTCTTTGCGGAACGAAACGTGGAAAAGTTCGAATGTAGAGGCAAAAGAATCTTTTCCGTTGTGACCAGTTCGCAGCTTTAAATAAGTTGACGCTGTGTATAGGACTACTACTTAATCCGAAGCGCACAGGCAATCAAGATGATGGATTTAAGTACAGAGTAGACTACAGAAAGTCAGGACGGCAACTCTTCTCGAGCATTTCATTCTTAATGGAATGACGATGCAAGAGTAACATGAATTAGTTATCTAAGCAGCGTATAGGACGAGCTGTGCGTTTACCTACAAATATCTTATTAAAGCTATTGAGTAATCTCTTGAGTAGTTGTTTTTGTCAGTTATTGTATATAGTAGCGTTACTTATTCATTTGCGCCTGCACATTATGACGGTTTGACATTAACATCTAGCCGCGCAGGGGCTAGCGAGCATCATTGATAAACAATTTTTTCAGCTACCCATTGTTAATGTATGAGTACTACGCTTTACTGAAAGGCTGCTTTTAGATGGCTCTAGCTGTTATCCTCCAGGGATGGCGTTTGGACATGATGTGGATTCATGTTTATCTGAGGTAATTGTTTTCTGTCTTCCTAATGAGCATCGGCTATTATACTACTGCACTATTGTAGTTTGGAGCGCCTAAATACTCAGGTCAATATGGCGGCGGGCATTTTTGTCCAATTAATCCAGTAAATTCCAAAATGCGATCAGTCTTAACACTAAAGACTCTTATCCGACACTACGGAAATAGCCCGTGTTCATCGTTGATCAAGGTGTTAAAGTAAGTACTGCTTTTGCCCACTTATGTACTTGTGAATCCAACAAAACAGTATTTATAGCGAAATGAACGCGGAATTGCTGCCGTATATAACGAAACTTGTGTCCAGCATGGGCGAGTCATTGATATTGGCGTGGTCAGTGGTACGTTTTCAGTTCAGCTCTTAAATAACATAGAAAAGTCATTATTTGTCGGTCAACTGCGAGACATCCGTTGGATTTTGAAATTGAAGTCGCAGTTTGTTTTGTTAGCTAAATTATTTTTTAATATTTAATGTTTGATCGCTGCTTTGATCTTTGCCTTATTTTTAAACAGTGCTTTACATGAAAAATTTTCTTTTCGCCTGGCGCAATTGCATTACTAACGAAGTGGCTTCCAGAGCAGCCGGATCTCTTCGCTCTGTTGCTTGTGTGCTACGTACAATTTGTATGTATAATCAGATTTATTGCCGGTGAAAGGATACCGCGGATTGTGCTGATAACCTGTGGTTGAAAGATCTCATTGATTGTGCATTTTCTGAATACCTCTTTAGAACGAAAAGCTCCTGGAAGAGTGAAAGAATGATGTAATTCTCAAAACTTAATGGTAGTTAACGGCCAATGCTTGTATAATTCGTCATAAATGAAATATAACCGCTTGGGGATCAACAGTTAAGGTACATCTGCAGTAGTTCGCTACCTTATTTACATCTTCAAAACGCCCGGTTAGCCGCAGAGAAATTGTAATTGCGAAATTATTAATAAAAGAATCAAAACAATAGTCATCAGATAGTTCCCCCCCCCATGGATTTCATATAGCTAGCTTGTATATTTCGACAAGCTCAGCGATCGTAATCTGCTTGTCCATTGAAGACGTAAGCATATGTCAAAACAGCTCTTTTTGCTGAAAATGGTGGGGGGGGGTATATTTTCATACATGCTGTAAACTTTCAAACGTTAGATTTTCAGTCGGCGGAAAAACAGGTAGACACTGAGTTACTCTGTTAAGTCGTCAGTTTGTGTATTGTTCCTGTGGCGAACGTTGGTGTTGCTGATGTTAGCTGGAAAGCTTTACTGTGTACTTAATCTGCAGAACAAATGCGGTGCATTCACCATCTGAAAGCTTAGATTCATGGTATTAATGCAGGAGCCGTCAGCTAAATCAAAATTATATTCCTCCCTGTGGGAGTTATGACTAAGAATTTTGTAAGCAACCCAGATGTACGTATGTGATGATTTAAATTGATGCGCACTGTCAAAAAAATACTGCAATGACATGTAAATAAATGGACTGAAGCTTGTTCTTTCTGTGTTGTCACACAGATGACAGTAGTTAAAAGACGTTGAGAGCCTGGTATGAAGTCTTGCTTTCGAAGAAATAAAATGCTAGAGTAGAGCAAATAAGAATGATCAACGTTTGTGCAGGATAAAATAATGCGCCTCCTCTTAAAGTAGAACATCTTTCCGTCAACGAGGTAGCAACAACTACAGATATTAGCAGTGGAGTGCCACCGTTACCTTCATGACGGCAACCCAAAGGCAGACCATGAGACACGTTGACAAAACAACTTGCTCGTGTAGGTCCACGGATTATTGAACAATTTAATGTTACCTTGTCAAATGCCACAGTTCATTGACGCAGCAGCCCTAATGTAGATCACGCGCGATCAATTTGCAGTTTGTGTCCTAACATCAACAAATAAATTATTTTGTCCGTCACTGTCCTAAAATACGCTTTAAAACTATTTACTGTTCAAGAATATCAGGTTTATTTAGATCACGTGCATTTCGTCGCTATTGATTTAGACCGACCAAACTAATATGATCAAACTCTAGAGTGATTATTACTGCATGAATGGTGAATACTGCTAAGCAACGTAGGCAAATTGCTGCCGCTGTTAAAATTAATTCGATCGACCAAAGTGTTCTGCCCCATAGCGGCCGATTATTGAGTAGGCGTCTGCTTATAGTGAAACATTATGCCTGCCAAGTAACCGCGCTTTCCATCTTGCCTATCTTAAAGAGGCAAAATATGACAGAACAGTCAAGTTTAATTTTCTTTACCCACGACGTGGCTCTGGTATATTCTTTTAGTTTTCATTACTGCTCTTCGTCAGAAATTCATGCCTGTGAGCAAACTGATGCGATATGAGCATACTGCAATAGATTCAGTGAAGTAGCTGTGCTCTGCACTAGTTAGGTAGATGTACAACTCAGGTTGGTGAGTTGAGGCCTCGTGACTCTAAAAGCACCATCTGCTGCGAAGTGTCGGAAAGACTGCCGAATCTTGTCAACAGTTCTACCTTGCAGAAAGGCTATGCGATACATACCGAAACATCGGTATTGGTCAGTAACCTGATTGACTACCTTTTACCTTGCATATGAAATAAGCCGTTTTTGTGCTATTTTCCAGTATATCGCAATGAGCCAGATGCTCTAAATTTGAGTGTAAGTTAGTCCCATATGAGTTTTACGGTCAATTTCTCATTCCCATGCCACATTGTCGACGAAAAAGCGGTAATGATGCCATTTTGGTTTACATCCTCATCGGGAATTAGGTGGCATTAAATGTTTGCGCCAAGAAACTGTGGAATCTATCGATAACTACTTTTAGTTTACGAAGGTTGATTAATTAAGTTGGGTGGACAAGTTGAGTTATTTCGACCGCTGGCAGATATTTAACAAGATCATTTATTATTCGTGGTTCCTATACGCAATTGATATATTTCTGTCATTATCGCTGTATCACGGGCACGACGTTGTTAATTACTAACATAAGCATATTATATTGGGCAGGAATTTTTGCAAATGCGCCTTTGCACGTCAGAATGGAACATGCCATGAGCTAGAAGCGGTAGTTCGCACACCGTCTCCTGTTTTCACCGCTGCCTTGTTAGTCAACTGTTTTTGAGTTCGTACCAGGTTTTCACTGCTACTAGCGAATCTACGATGGCTGCCTTTACTCTGATTCGCGCTCAGTTAGTGGGATAGCTGTTTGTTCGTCAAGCGAGTGACAATTTCGTCTTTAAAGTTTGTTCCAGTTTTCCTATCTGAGTTTGCGAAATTGAGTGACTATACTTGCTCTTTTAGAAAGATGACACCAGTGACTCTGAAGAGCACGACGATGAAGGCTTGCAGAAGTTTGGCATACAGCATCGTCATTCGTCTGAAATGTTGTATTATCGATTTTTGGAGAAGATCATTGGTGACGAAAAAGAAAGGTCACAGTCGAACGACATTGCGGTTAGTGACCTTTTAAACTTATAGTCAGCGACTTTAGCGGGTATTGTTTCCTTCTCTACATCTGTTTAGTTATGACTTCTGCAGGACAGCTTATAAATGTTTTGATGCTAAATGCTTCCTTGTTCTCTAGACACTGAGGTTAACAGCAACATAGAATGTTTTGTCATTCTTTGTTCAAAGCAATGACGACAAGAAGTGCAATTTTCTTAAAGTTTCTGCACTTCAGTTTTGAGGAAATTTGACGCTGTTATAGAGTGTATGGTAGGAAGAGGAATAGACGAGTATTATTCTCTGACATCTTGTCTCTTTGCATATTGTCAAGTGTTCTGCGCCTACTGACCTACTTAAGCACATATAATGCGTTAACACGTATTTGCGTGGCCGTGGAATGCACTAAATCGTGTAAGGTGGCCGTTACATATGTACAGAACTTATCTGACGTGCCTTAGTAGTACTCCTCCAATTTTGTTCTAGCATGCTACATATTGTAAGTGTTTTGAGGAACCATTCCGGTGTTTTGTTGGACATTTGCTTCACAATTTTAGCTATTGATGGCTCTGGATCCATGATGGCAAAATTTCTTACCATTTTTTTGCCTCACCTTTGTTTCCCATAAGTTTTCATCTGGATGAAACTTCTGCAGCACATAGTGAACGAATGACTTTTCATGTCAGCAGTTTCAGTCTGAAGTTGCACTTGATGTCTTCTGTATTGTGAATCTTTTTTGGTTTTGCTGAAATTACTTCATTGTCTGCATCTCGATCTAGATTTTGTAATTAGCATTCCATTACATGATCCTTCTTTATCAGAGTTACTAACTGCCAGAAATATCACTGCTTAATTGCAGTAGCTGAATTGTTTTGATGCAGTGGTTGTTTTCGCCATGTTTTGCTGTCAGTCACAAAGCTGTCTGATCGTTACTTTTGTTTGCCTTGTCTCTGCTGTACTTGTAAGTGCTGTTCAAGATGGTCGCCATCTTTTCGGTACACCGTTTTTCTTGTCAGCTTGTACAGAATTCCGAGAACGAAAGGAGTTGTCGAAGTTAGTGGATGGACCATGCTTTGTTATTGTTTAGCATCGTTTTCAGAGGCTAGCAGATCTTAAACAGCACTCCAGATTTTTGATGGCTGACATTTAGAAATGGTATTTCTAATGATAAAATGTTTCTCATTTCCAGTAGGTCCACCTAAACAATGTATTTTGCGTCGCTCCTAGTGTTTTCTCTGTTCGCTACATCAGAGAATTTCTTAAAGAGCGATTCAGTCAGAGACGTGTATTTCAACCATTTTATTTCAGTCATGTGTGTCTGGGTCGCCGTTTTATATTTTTTCCTCTTAGGAGCATTTGCATTCTCTTTCTTGGCTGATATTTGAGTGCTCCGACGTATTTAGGTGCATCATTTTTCACTTCAGCTGAATCCCTGGAGCAGCTAGCGACGGACGGCTCATCAGCTCCTGAAAATGTTTCTTAAATCGGTTTCCACCTGATATTTTTAGCATCAAATATCCATATTATCAAGCGCTGGTCGTACCCGTCCTATTTTGTGGGTGTGAAACCTGGAATATTCTAAAGGTGGGCTTCATAAGGTTTAATTTGTTTT